ATACACATACATATACACATATACATACACATATGAGGGGTCCTTGGTGCTCTCTGAATTTGCTTGTTTTCTTGTAGACTAAGCTACAAATATTCTCCTTCATTGGTACATATACATAAATACACACACACACACACACACATACAGGCACATATATACTTCTTGTTGTCAATCTCCCTTTGAGAAGAACGCTGGGTGGTATACAATTTGATCCATAAAATTAAGCATTAAAAACAGATTAATTTAAGATTATTTTTTTAAAATATATATATAAAACATTATAAAATTTCAAAAGATGGAGAGTTCCAAGGTTAGCCATTGTTAATACAGGCAGTGGGGGATGGTCTCATGGGGCCAACCGGCTCCATGGCTGTATGGGCCCATGTCGTGGAAAAAAACCCAATGAAAAATACAAGAGACAGCAGCACAAAACAATAATTCTTACTTTAAGATTCAGAGGTTTATTTTGCTAATAATTTGGAACATAACAAGCACAATAACACAACATCACTTACATTAATAACCCATTGCAATGAGGTCCATTGACATAGCAAATTCCAAAGGACAGCTATAGGCCAATGGCAAATCAATCAGGTCCAGTCCCAACCCTTTTATACCCTTTCTCATTCTAAGACTGTAGTCAGGTGGTCTGCTGACTTTTGCTGACTTCTGATGACTTTTGCTGACTTTTTACTGACTTCCTGCTGATCTTCTGCCGAACATAACTTTCCACATATACCCATGTACATTGGAACCCGCATCCATCAGCTACTTTCAGTTCCCTATTTCTTACTATTCCAGTCCTTATCTTCTAAATATACACAGAACTACCTACTTTGCAATTTCATATAGCACAAAGCTCAGCAGATTACNTTTTTTCCCTTCTTTAAAGCAGACTGAGTATTTGCTCACCGCTGACAAGCAGACTCACACAGAAAGAGGGAGGGAGGGAGAGAGAGAGAGAGAGACAGAGGGAGGAAAGAAAAGAAAGAGGAGTCAACAGAAAAAAATGTTGACAACTGTCAGAAGTGCCCTTTCTTGTGCTGAAATACGGTAACCAGCAAGAGATTACGGTAAATCACAACAGGGACCGTAGTGCTGCCTGCATCGGCTCCTACAGCACAGTAAAGTTACTGCTTCTCCCTGACAGTCGAGCAGGGGAGCATTATTCACCCAGGAAGAGGGTGGTATCATAAAACCAGTGCTCAGCCACCCTTAGCCATTGGGACAGAGGGAATTCATGTAATTGTGAGTCATCAAAATATACTACAGGGGGAGGGGAAGGAGGATGCTGATTTATTTATTTCATTGTTATTTGCAAGCAAAGTGTCCCACTGTGCTATTCGGATGACTGCCTTTGATTCGTCCCCTTTCAACCAGCCTGCAACAGGAGGGTTTCACAAGCCTGAAGGAGGTAAGTGGAGAAAGACCTTGGATATCTATGCAAAAGAAGTCCTTAGCTGAAGATGATATAACCTGCCTATCTTCTTTCCTTCCTTCCTTCCTTCCTTCCTTCCTTCCTTCCTTCCTTCCTTCCTTCCTTCCTTCCTTCTTTCCTTATTTCCTTCCTTCCTTATTTCTTTCCTTCTTTCCTTCCTTCTTTTCCTTCCTTCCTTTCCTTCCTTCCTTTTCTTTCTTTCTTTCTTCCTTCCTTCCTTCCTTTTCTTTCTTTTTCTTTCTTTCTTTCTTTCTTTCTTTCTTCCTTCCTTCCTTCCTTCCTTCCTTCCTTCCTTCTTTCCTGCCTTCTTTCCCTTCCTTCTTTCCTTCAAATAATGTTGACAAGATTGACAATGTTTCTTTCTCTGTTTGGGGTTTGCCTCCATCCTACATTCTGTGGAATTCTCGTATTTAATTGCCCGAGTCCACAACAATTAACCGAGAAGAAGTAATGAAGGGAAAATTGACTAGAAATGTGTTGCGATATATTTATTTGCTTACTAATATTCGTTGGCTCCTAAAAAAAATTATACTGGGTCGCATTCCCCCTAAGCCATGTTTTTGGTGATGGTGGGGCCACATTTATTGATTCAATTACCAATTGGCCATGGAATGTTCTCCCACTAAAGGTATGTCTGGCTTTTCACCTATTTTCTCCATTGCAATCGAAGCATCGTCAGCTTTTTGAAAGAAGGAATACCTTTGGTTGGTTGGTTCTTTTAAAGGAAAGAAAAATGGCTGGATGAAGTTTTTTCTTTTAAAAAAAATACACATTTAAAATAGAATTATCTTTTATTAATTATTAGTTCAATTATTAATTATTATCTAGGGGAAATCCAGCAAAGTTTCTATTTGCAGGAAGTGTGTGTCCGATTAAAGACAAGGAGGGTGCTTTTATATTGCATGGAGTTTAGCTCATGAGATGGATGGTTATCCTTAGTTGACCAAGCTTCTACCCCAAAACATGGATAACAGTTGTAAACAGTGGGTCCAAAAGGTCACAAAATGCAAGGCGTCCAACAGTTCTGTTCTCTATACTATTTGTATGCAAAACCCATTTGTATCCAAAGAGATAAGTGCGATGACCCTTCACAGTCAGAAACAACTGGCAATAACACAATGTTCTGAGCTTTGCTGCTAATTTGACCCATGCTGTAGGAAAGAAACCCCGAAGCCCTAAAGAAACAAAATCTAAGTTTAAAATATCACTTCTAAAGCAGCACCCCTCTGACTTGTGTGTATGTGTATGTGTATGTGTATGTACTGTATATTCAGAATCTATTTATGGAAGGCATGTTCAGACTCATGCCTTATTTCATTTTTTTTTCTACCATTATTAATCTTATAGGAAAAAGTTCCTATTGTATGATGTTATTCTCTTTGCTATTCTTAATTAGGAACAGCCCTTTGCGAAATCGTAGCTCAGGAACACAAAACATGTTTAAAGTCCTAGATGCAGTTCTTGGACTGTCCAGATATAGCTGGAAGGACACTTTGCAGTTGTTCTGGCTGCCAATGCCATGCTAATAATCCATTGGTCTAGAATAGTCCTATGCATTTTGTTTTGTTTTGTTAGAACAAGCTTATTCAGTCTCCTTTGCATTGCCAATCATTTTTGCTCTCTGCCTAATAAATTTGGGTTGAACGTCTTGTTGATCAGTGGACCCTAAACTTTTGTAGCCTCTGGAATTTCCCCAGATTACTGCACTGAAATTTGGCAGCAAACAAGCCAATTACCTTGGTATGATTTCCAACTGTGTTCTTTTTTCTGGGAAATAAAAAGAAATCCATAATAGGCTTAACACACCTATTGAGAATTAACCCCTCAAAATCACAGCCCATAAACCTGAGTTTCAAAATGTTGGTCCTGGTGTCTCTGATGGCATCAGCTTCAAATTCTAGAAGCACTCAACAGCCAAAGAATAATTTAATAATCTATAATGTAACACATTTAATTTAATAATAATGTTGTTTTCTCCCATCAGCCATAACATGGTTGCCCAACTCTAAAATAAAAAATAGAGAAAGGGTTTAGTGACTTCTAGGAGCTGTTAATCTATAATTCCCAACACATCTAACTGTTCTGACTAGCATGAATAGAAGTTAAAATCCAACAAAATCTGGAATCCCAAAAGAAGATTATCCAAAGCCAAGATAAAGAAATTGAGACTAGGAAAAAAAATCCGAGAATCTGTGAAGAAAAAGCACATTTCATGGTTACGAATGGGATGAGTGCTTGGGCTTAGCGTGCTGGGAAGGGGAGAGGGATTTTAAAAGCTGTGGAAACTAAATGAGTAAATTATGCAACTAACTCCTGTGCTTGCTTATTTGGAGCACCCAAAATTGAGTCTGTGGAGATATTGGTCCCTCCTCTGGAGAAAGAAATGCATGTACTTATTTCTCCAAGGATACATTTCCTATTGTGGTCTAATGTATAAGCCTAGTTGGGACACTAGGAATGACATGCTGTTGCTTGCTTGAAAACTTGCATTTGTTCAAAACGAATTCTTATATTTTTTTATTTTAACCTATTGCATGCACCAGAGACAAATCCCTTGTGTCCAATCGCACTTCTATTCTATTCTATTCTATTCTATTCTATTCTATTCTATTCTATTCTATTCTATTCTATTTTCTGTTCTGTTCTTTGAATGCCCAGCATTCTAATCTTGAAACATAAGCAGCTTTATTTGGCCAAATCACACTTAAAGTCCAGTAAGGTTTCTTCCCTCACTTTCTGAAGTTTTAGATAAGGAATTGGTCTTTATACTCATTGTTGTTTGTTCCTTTTAATTAGAGATCCCCAAATCTGGCCCTGGGATCTCCTGTATGTGTATTACAATATACATCATCTACGCCAAAGGTATTTTTTACTGAGCCCAGAGCTAAATCCAGATATTTCAAACAGATCATTCCCTGATACCAATCAAGCTGTTTTGATCAGACCAAATGAAAACTAGGCTGCAAGGAGAATTCCATACATAGTAAGCATTGCAACTTCAGCCATGCATCTTAAATCGCAAGTGGAGCATTCTGAGTTACCCTCTCGGTTAACGTAAGGTTCATTTGTAATGTAGGGGAGGAAATGGAAGAGAAATCACTGCAATATTGGTTTTCTTATGTTGTAAATTACCGTGAGGCTAGAATGGAAATGTCCATGATTTCTTCTTAGCATAAAACTGCAGATTGTTTTGCTTGCAGCAGAGTTAACAGAAAGAAGGCACACATAAGACCCGCTTGTTCTAAAAAGACCCAACATTGCCTTTTTTTTTCTGGGGGATGCTGCAGGGTAATCAATGGCCAATTTGTCAGAGAGCAACATTTTTATTGCCCAAGATTCGGAGGTATGATTTGATGAAAAAACATAAGAAGCAATCAGTCTGAAGAGCACCAACTGATGAGCAAGCAGCGTTGCAGTCAACAACAGTCTGTATGCAATGTTAAAAACTCAGTAAAGTTTGATTCCTAATTTTGGAAAAAAATATTGCTGTTGGAATATTGGCCAACAAGAAGCCTGGTGTTTGAAATGTGTTTTCTCCTTTTGACTTCTTTAGGAAACAGCTTAATTGTCAAGCAGAAGAGCACAGACCACCGTCTCCTCCAAGTTCCTAGCAGGTCCATAACCATTGTTTGTTAAAAGGATTATATGCTGGGTCAAGGTGTCACAACTTTACAATTATTACAGCTTCTTCGGCAACTTGATGTCATAAAGCTAGTCATGGATGAAAAGACTAGATGTTGAGAAGTGTCGAACAGAGTGACAGACAGCATTTTTTCTTTCACCTGGGAAGATGTTTCGAAGTCAAATATGAAGAAGACATAAGAAAGAGCAAAGAATACCCTGCTATTATTTGTTCTGTGTCTTCCCAGGAAGAACTTTTAGAGAGTCTGGAAGCTGATGGCCTTTCTACATTTGCAACTTTCCTTGCTTAGTAACAAAAAGCATCTTGTGACTCAGTGGGTATTATTTTAAAAACTAAACAGAAACTAAGAAAGAGGTCTTTAGCTCAGTTTTAATATGGTTTCATCAACAAACATCCAACAAGGTGTGTTAAGCTTCAAAGAGACTATTCTAAAGAAAACCATTATAATTGCTTTGGAATTATTTATGAAACAAGAAACGCCTATGTTTTTCCTGGGAGCAAATGAAAAAGAAGAAATGTGGATTCTCAAATATGTTCATTAGGCTAGGGTTTTGCTCTCTCCTCTGCATTTATAAAGCCAGACTAGTATTTCCAATTAGTTTCTATCTACAATGTGGAAATAAAGCTTCTCATAACACTACCAAATATTTGCTCTTGGCTCTTTCAAAGAAAGGGCAGAGAGAATCACAAACACCCTGGATGAACATTAACCAGTTTTGATAATGGGACTGACCTCTGAGAACATCTCTGCCCCTGACTGCTTCAATTGCACCCAGACTGTGGAGCAAGTAAATATTTTTAAAGCCATATTATTAGGTGTCATCTTTGGAGGGCTGATAGTTTTTGGGGTCCTGGGCAACATTGTGGTCATCCTTTCCGTAGCCTGTCATAAACATCTACAAATCGTAACCCATTACTACATTATCAACTTGGCTGTGGCTGATCTCCTCTTGACTTCTATTGTTCTCCCCTTTTCTGCTATTCTTGACATCCTGGGCTACTGGGTTTTTGGGAGGATCTTCTGCAACATCTGGGCAGCCGTTGACGTTATGTGCTGCACAGCTTCTATCATGAGCCTTTGTGTCATCTCCATAGACCGATATATTGGAGTGAGCTACCCACTGAGATATCCAGCAATAGTGACTGAAAAAAGAGGTCTCTTGGCTCTCCTGTGTGTGTGGGCATTGTCGCTTGTGATATCCATAGGTCCCCTTTTTGGCTGGAGACAACCAGCTCCAGAAGATGAAACAAACTGCCAAATCAACACTGACCCAAGTTATGTATTGTTTTCTGCTCTCGGGTCCTTCTATCTCCCCCTGGTTATCATACTGGTGATGTATTGCCGGGTGTACGTGGTAGCCAAAAGGGAAAGCAAAGGATTGTCATGTGGCCTGAAGACTGAGAGGTCCCGCTCAGAAGAAGTGACTCTTCGTATCCACCGCAAAAACAACACTGAAGCTGCAGGAGCTACCCCTACCAGCAAGCAGAAATCCAATTTTTCCTTAAGGCTTCTAAAGTTCTCTCGGGAGAAGAAAGCAGCCAAAAGCTTGGGAATAGTTGTGGGATGTTTCATCCTGTGCTGGCTTCCTTTCTTTTTAATCATGCCAATTGGTAAGTAGAATATAAATACACTGGCCAATGAAAATGTGGGGTTATGTGATATGGGTGCTTCTCTGAATATTTGAGATTCTAGATGAGTTCTTCATCTGATGTAACTGAGGAAAGTCTCTCTGAGTTGAGTCATATATAGTGATAGAGTAATTTATGAGATAAGAGTGGTGTTATTTTTGTACCCCCGTGTCCTTTTTCTCTACTGTTGAAGATGTACAGATACAGATTTAAGCGGCTAGGTACTGGGTAAAAGAAGATGGGATTTTGGCACTGGCCATGGGGATCTAGATAAGGCAGAGGAGAGTTCTGCTTCACGGGCATTAGATATCACATCCTGTTTGAGTCATAATAAGAACAGGAGATGATCAAACAAATGTGACTCACTGGGCATCATTCTGTGAAATCTTAATATTTGTGGGTTCTACTTTTTTAAAACTAGGATATTGAGCTCAGCCATTCAGAACCTATATGGATATGTGGTCTTAATTAATAACAGAATGCCTCTGAGAACATAATCAGGCTAGGAATTCATGATCACCACACCAGAGCCAAGCTCACAATTCCTTTCATCCAAAACTCCTCCCCTTACTTCTCCTCAAACATTCTTTTCAGCAACTTAGTTTATAGCAGCGGTTCTCAACCTATGGGTCGCGACCCCATTTGGGGTCGATCGACCATTTCACGGGGGTCGCCAAGCAAGGCTGTCCACCATTTTTTTCCCCTTTTCCGGAGGGTGCCTTACCTCCCTTGAGCTGGGCCAGCTGGTGGTCGGCCTGCTCCGTCTCTGCCGCTTGCTAGCTACGCCTCGGCCGGCGCAGGAGGCGGAACCACGCATGTGCGGTGCTCCCGGGCAGGGAAAGTCCTCGACGTACGACCGGTTGGGTAGTCCTCGACTTACGACCGGTTTAGTCCTCGACTTACGACCGGTTTAGTCCTCGACTTATGACCGGTTGGGGGTCACGGCATTAAAAAGGCCGAGAACCATTGGTTTATAGGCAATGAGCAACAAATCTGCTGTTTTGATGGTTAAGTAAGTGGCAAGTGTTTTTGACTTCTAGTCTTCTGCACATCACCCAAACATTTATCTATCTACACAATTATCTCCATATCATAAAGTCCAGGTCACATTTGAGAACGTACACAGAATAATCTTCAAAAGATCTGCTCTCAAGATAGAACTCTGGATTGCATTGAATTTGTCTTACTATCATTTGTAAGAAACTATCTTTTCTGTGATTTTCAAAAAGTTTATCTTTCTGTCAAATGTATGAAACCTATTTATCAAGGTTTATCAAAACTACTTTAACACCTGTTGCTGGAGAAAATTTTTAAAAAGGTCAAAGACAACCCAATCCAACACAGCACTAGCTAAGGGGAGATATCTTCAATTCTTCTCTTATGCATGTTGGGTTGTAAAAAAAAAAATGAAGCTACCAATGAAAGATCTTAATGTGTATGTTTGAGAAATGAACGGGAGCAATTGAACAATCAAAATGCATCTGGAAACAGTTCAAATCCTGCTTTAAATCGATGTTATTCCCAGCTTAGAAGGAATGTTGATATTAGTTTTAAATGATGGATAAGGTTGTGGTGTGTCCTATTTGGTCTCCTTCAAACAGCCCAAGTGCCTTCTGTCTTCCATAATTTAGACCAGGGGTTTTCAAACTTGGCAATTTTAAGACTTGTGGACTTCAACCCCCAGAATTCCTCAGCCATTTAAGTCCACAAGATTTAAAGTGGCCAAGTTTGAAAACCCCTGGATTTAGGCATTTGAATGACAATCACACTGTCTGGGTACAGCTTAGAGTCCACTAACAAATATATGTTTTCAGATTTAAATGCTAAGCAGTTGAAGAAAAAAGCTGAATATAAGAAAGGTTTCTTCTGGAAACACATAATAATGGATTCAGGAAAAAGGAGCATAATCCAAAAAAATGGTGGTTTTAGGCCCGTTAGTCTTCAACTGCCTGATTATTGCCAAAATATGATATTGGGGGGTGAGAGACAGACAATAATAAGAATATTAACAACAATAAACAATAGCAATTAGCCATGTAAAAGTAACAGAGGTGGAAATCTCCTTCGCTCATAGATCTGTTGATTTAGGGCTTGTAGCCACTTGTCTAATTAGGATTTCTGACTGAGTGGAGTCTTTGAGTGGACTCATAGATCCCAAAGAAATCTATATGTCAATACCCATAATGTTTTCTTTGTTTAAAAAAGACACTTTTCCTTTGTAATGTTTACTAGATCATTTTTTTAAATTGATATGAAAATCAGTTTTAATAACAGCCAAGTCACTTTGGGGAAGAATTTCACTATAAAACTGTGATCCTGTCATTTGGTAGCTGTTAGTTGCAGATGGTTTACTCTGTGGTTATTAGAAGTTCCTCCTTAATGAAGTTCCTCTTGGAATTACGAAACTATGCGTTTCCAGATATATAGTGTGTGCGTTTTTCTCAAGAATTCAGCAGCCTATTATGGATTGGAAACTGTTACGGAATTCAGCAAATCACACACCCACAACTGTGGTGGACAATCCTAGCAATGCTTTAGAGCCTGTAGTCAAAATAAGTGTGTTGAACAAGTCATACCAAATATTTCTGTTTTGTATCATTATCACTCATGTTGTCTGTGGAGATTCTCAGTCATCCAGGTCACATTGTCTCAAAGATGCTTTTTTTCTTCAAAACTCAACTGGACTATTTTTTTTCTTTGAGGGAGAAGAAGAAAATGAAAGGAAGAAAAGTTCTTCCTCAAGGAAAAAACCAGTCCATTTGCTTGTGGGGGGGGACACTTTTGAAATATCACTCGTGTTTTAACTTTTCCTAAGCAAAACTCTGAGAATTTTTTTCCTGTTTTAAACAACTTTTCCTACCTCGATTATAATCCAAACCTATAAAATATAGATTTCTACAAAGCAAAAAAAAAAAAGGCCAAGGACTGCATACAATTCTTCTTCCTATTTTGGAAATACTTTGAATGAAACATCCTTTACAAATTCTGGATATTAAATTAGTTCTAGTTCAAACTCGTTAGAGCTTTAAAATTGCCAGCAGGTTAAATCCAGAATCGTGGTCAAGCATGCCCAGAAGGATGGATTAAGAAGGATGCTGGCCTCTTATTCTGGGAAGTACAAATGCCAAGAGTGATTTAACAAAGTTCATGAGATGGAGCCTGATTCAATTAATTTAAAAGAGAGGTTAATCTACTTTTGCTTAATTTTACTACATACATCGTATCAAGTTTTGGGCTGAAATATGAGTGTGGGCAGTAATAAATGAGAAGAATACTTTTAGGAGAAAGGAATAGCTGGAATGGCAGGATTTCATTTAATATGAACAATATGTTTTGTAATCCATGTTATTTTATTGTTTTATTACTTTCAAATAGCAAACTTAGTTTGGAAAAAAAGCAGGCTTTGGTAAAAATGCTAAATTCTCTTTCATCTCTCCTTCATTTATTTCAAGGACTTGTGTTCAACAAAGTTCACTCTCTTAGTAGTTAAAATATTATTTAACTTCAGGTATGTTCATCAATTATTAATGTCATTCATTCTTTTCAAAGGAGAAGATGGATTTTCAGGATCATTTTTTAAATTAATATTCAATTGTTCAGCAACCTCAGGAAATGCCTTTCTATAATCTGTTCACCAGTAGTTTTTATGCCAATGTTCTACTTAAACACCTTTGAAAAGTCTGCAATTCAGTTCAACAAAGGAATCTTAATTGTGTGTGTTTTTCTTCCTACAAAATCAATTAACTTATCTTAAAAAATCTTCCTTTATGTACATATCATCAAACGGTGAAATTATTAAACCCAAAGAGAAGCAGTTTAATAATCACAATTTGGGATTGTGTGAACAGCTGGTACAAATAAATGTTATGATGAGGATGTATATTAGAAACAATTGAGTGCTAGGTTTGTTTATTTTTTTTCTTCTTTTAAAATGATTGCTTATCCATCATAAAAGGCAAATAACAAATAAAAGTTAATGATTAAGAAATACTGCCAGGGAACCTGTTACTCTAAAAAATAAAAACATGGTAACATGGAAAGTTTGTCCTTTAAAGCAGCTGTTTAAATTATTTTTATTTATTAAGTTTATTTGATGCCCATCTCACTACAAGGTGACTCTTATGTTCAATAAGATGCGCTTGCTAGTAAATTTACAATTGTTGCTTTAGCAGCACTCATATACATTTATTTCTAAATTGTAATTGCATTATTTATAGTTAGTAAATTGATAGGAATCCGCTGTTAATTGCATTTATTGATGCCTTTTCTATTTGGCTCAGGTCTTAGAGATGTTGACTGAATTTGCTTTCATGTTTTGATTTTGAATTCGGCATAACATATGAACCTACCCCAGGCTTCTTAATAGGTGTTAATTCAAAATTCTACTTTTTATTTAAGAAGGTTGGCCAAAGCTAAATACATAGATGACTCGGTTCCATTGTTCTTACTGTTTTTGTTCTGGCTTCCACAAATGAAGTTATTCCCTTATTATATTCATTTTTTAATCTCTGGCGTCCTTGGGATGTGAATTGCCTTCTGAGTGATGAACGGAAATGAAGCATAAGAAGAGGGGCAGAACAGGGGTATAGAAATGCAAGCAATGGAAAAATCAACTTTGTCCAATGGTTAGGGTGAAGGATTCTCAATCAAACTGATCTCCCAGATTGTTATAATGATAAAACTGGAGTGACCAGGTGATGGGAATTGCCCTAACCATAACTTTAGAGGAAAGGTGGGCTATAAATAATGATTACGTGCCAACATGTCATTGTCAACTTAGCAATTACATAGATATTATAGATATTCACATGACAAGCTGTCTCCAACCAAGTCTTTTAGGTATTCCAATGGTGCATCCAATGCCATTGTAACTTTCTCTATCTACTTTGCTGCTGATCATCCTCTTCTTCTCTTTCCTTCCACATTTTCCAGCACTATAGCCTGATTTATAAAATAATAAGAAGGCATTAAGCTGATTGTTA